CTCTCTCTCTCTCTCTCTCTCTCTCTCTCTCTCTCTCTCTCTCTCTCTCTCTCTCCACCTTTACCTGACCTCTTCCCTTGCTCCGTACCCCACCAATCCTCTGCCCTCCCTCCTCCTTCCATCTGCCCTCCCTCCGCTCTTTCACCCTGCCGACTTTCCCCTTCCTCCCGGCCTCCTTCCACTTCCTCCTCTTCCTCTTCACGCTTTTTCCCATGCTCATCTCCCCCTTGCCTCTTCCCTTCCTCCATACGTCACTCAACCTCTAAACTACGTTCCGCTTTCTGTCCTCCCTTCGCCCTACTTCTCCCTGCCGCCTCCCTTTCCTCCCGGCCTCCTCTGGACCGTCTCTTAAACCTCCGTCTGCCCTCCCTCGCCTGGCCACCCGACTCCCCTTCCTTCGCCCAATCTCCGCCTGACCTCCTTCTCTCCATCTCCTCCGTCCTACTCCTTCCTCACGCCCGRTTTGCACTGACCTCCCCCTTCACCCGATCTCCTTCCTCCCCTTTCTTCCTTGGCCCGATCTCCACCTGACCTCCTGCTTCCGCCCTACTCTCTGCCGCCTTTCCCCTGCCTACTGGCCTCCTCCGCACCCTACTCTCTTCAACCTCCCTCTGAGCTCCGTCCGCCTGGCCGCCTCATTCCCCTCCGCTCGCCCCCTTTGTCCGCCTGATCTCTGTCTGACCTCCTCCTTCCCTCGATCTCCTCCCTCCCCTTCCTTCCTCAACCCGATCACCACCTGACCTCCTTCCATTCCTCCCTCCGTCCTACTCCCTACCTCCCCCTTCCTCCCTTGACCAGCCGCCCTTCCTTCGTAATGCCCAACGTAAGAAATACTTCTTTTCCTTTATCCGGTGGACGTAAACGTGCCATTTGTTATCAAGATCGCTCCATTTCTTTTAAGATCTCAACACTGTTGCACACACGCAAGAAGGAGAGAGGAAAAGCAGGAGAGAGAAAAACGCATTTCACCCAACACACTTCCTTCCTCGCACCTTCTTTGTCCTTGTCTCTGTCTCTTCCACCACCACATCTTCTGCCTCTTCAAGATCTTCCTCCTCAACATTCTCCCTCGGTCTTTTCATTTTGGAGCGGCCTTATGATTAACTGCCCCGCGCCAGGTATTTCAGGCTATCGATATTTCTTTCTATATTTCACTCTCTTCCTCCCCAATCCCTACACACACCACACTGAGTCAGCTCTCTCTCTCTCTCTCTCTCTCTCTCTCTCCCCCCCCCCCCCCCCCACATCCACACCCCTCGCTGTGTGCGCCTGCGTGCGACCGCACGCGCGAGAGCACACGCTCGCCCTTATTCACATTGAAAAAAAAAGTGGCGCTAAGCCTTAACACAAATTGAGAACGCTAAGAAAAACGGAATGCACTCTCTATATTGTCCCCAGATAAGGGAGCCCGAAGCGAGGGAGGAAGGTACCGCCACCGGAGGGAGGAGGGAGAAGGCGAGGGAGGAAGGCGAGGCGAGGTTCGAACCACACGAATCTGACATATTCTGACATGATTGAGAAAAAAAGCAACCGTACAATTTTTATTTTTTTTGCCTTTTATTTTGCTTTTATCACCCACACGCTCAGCAACATCCCTTCTTGCTGGCTCGAACCTTCGCCGACCCGAAAACCCCACGAATCTGACATATTCTGACATGATTGAAAAAAAAGCAACCGTACAATTTTTTATTTTTTTTTGCCTTTTATTTTGCTTTTATCTCCCACACG